CAATTAAATTCTCATCATACAAATATAAATGTATAAATATAATATGTAAAATATTTATTATATTACTTTAGCGTTGACATTTATTACTGTAGAATTAGAGAAACAGTTTGAATTCTTGATTTGCCTAACAAACCGTTATTTCCTTGCTATGTATTTCACCATAAGAGTTTCTCTCTCTCTCTCTCTCTCTCTCTTCCTCTCTGTTTGTCTCTGTTTGTCTCTGTCTGTCTCATTCCCTCTATCATAATGCTTATTGTTATTTTCTCGTTTCACCGTCTATCGTCCAAGTTATGATTAACTAAGTTTACAGTGAATGTCCCTTTATGAGTGTATCTTGAACTATATTCTTAGTAAATATAGAGATTGTTATGCTATATTTAACTATATTTGAGGAGAAATTAATTTGTATTTATGTACTCGTGTATACATATTGCTTACCGATTTACTTATTTGCATTTGAATTTGTCCATGTATGTTTCATGAAGAAACGATATACGTTTATCCGATTAATCATGATTTTATCTAAAATATGTGGTTTCATTACAAAAAAAAAAAAAAAAAAAAAAAAAAAAAAAAAAAAAAAAAAAAAAAAATTTAATATTTTATATTAAATGATTTATTGTTTTCCTTTTCCGTCTTATAAAATTGTTTTATATTTGAAATTATTTTATTAAAAATCTTTTTATTTATTTGAAATAAAATCGACGCAATTAATAATATGGTGTACGATTTAAAAAAAAAAAAGAAGAAGAAAAAAAAAGAAAGGAAGAAAAGAAGTCAATTTTTTATATTTAAAAAGTCAAAAAGAAAAAAAAAAAGAAAAGAAAGAAGCAAAAGAAAAGCAATATCGATTATAAGAAAATTAACTTTGACATAATCGTATTAATTTAAATTTTAATAATTTTGAAAAGTATGTAAAAACTTTCGAACACTTTCTCTCTCTCTCTCTCTCTCTCTCTCTTTCCTCGCTATGTACGTACGTAGGTTGTACCATAGAAGTTGGCTCACCGCATATTAATTACGGCAAAGGTGTTACAAAATAAAGTTACTGCTGCATCTCTAGCTTCGTTAAAACTTCGAAATAGACTCGAACGATTAGAGAGAAGAGACTATCGATCGTCGGGGAACTTCACATGAAGCTATCGAACGTATGATTAAAGTCCTGTACACAGATACACATGCGTACATACATATATACATACATACATATATACATACATATATACATATACATATATATATACATATACATATACGTGTATATACATATACACATAAATTATAAATGAATAGATAAAATTATACACGTCATACATATAAAACATATGTAAGCATACATTTCATACATATATTTCGTATATACATATATAAATGTTTAATGTTTATAAATGTCTATAAAAGAAAAGTTTTTTTTTTTTTTTATTTTTTTTTTTTTTTTTTTTTTTTTGGAAATAGAAAAGATAAAAGAGTAATTGGCTTTTAAAATCACTTAGGATCTTTTCTCCAATATCTAGGAACTTTTAAGGTCGCAATGTATACGTGTACGTAAGATTCACAAGTTATATAAATGCATATACATGAGTATATATATATATACATATGTATATGTATATGTAAAGAAAGTTATGCGAAGCACGTAAGAGATACGTATGCCCTTACTGCTCCCTCGAAGTCTCCAAGAGTTTCCCCAAGTGCAATTAGCGATCTCTCAGTTTCTGTAGAGGTCTCTCCTTTTCGGAAGGATGAGGACATCGAATGTTGACTCTAGCAAAACCCTTAGAGAATTTCGGTTAATGATCGAATTTAATCTTGATTTTCTTTTGTCTTTCCTCTTTTTCTTGTTTATACTTTTATTTTCTTATTTATATGTATGTATGTATGTTTTCTTATTTATATGTACGCATATATGTATATATGTGTACATATTTTCATACATATTTTTTTCTGTGTAACATACTTATACATATGTATATAAACATATATATATGTGTGTACGTATATGTATGTATATACACAATATACATACATACATACATATACACACACACACAAGTCTATATAAACTAGGCCAATAACTTGATCAATCAGCTTGAATTTTTATTCCTTTTATTTATTCTTTTTAGAGATATGGAGAAACTTTGTTTAGAAAAATCATACAGTACGGAAAGAACTATAATATGACAGATAGTACTTTTTTGTTGGCAAAGACGTAAGGAATATAAGAAGGATAACTGTTCTTCTTTTTCTTTTTCTTTTTTAAGTCGAATCATATATTTTTGAAAGAATTGATCCGTGTTGTTTGATGTTTTGTATAAAAAAGTATTCATCTATACAAATAGAAAATTTATTGATTAGATATTATAGTTTAAATATTACTGATATATTATGTAGATCTGCGATTAAAATATAGTAAGAGTAGTGGTAATGATATAAATAACGATAGTAAGAAATTGATATTTCCTTTGGTTCATATTCAATCATTATTTTGTGCTTACGTATAATAATGCTGTAAGATAAGCGTAAGGTAAACACAATATAAATGCAAAATAAGCGCAAAATAAATGCAGAATAAGTGCATGATAAGCACAGAATTCTAATTACGAAAAGAACATCTTTCGAATTTTCGATCATTCAATTACGTATATTATCAATTTTCTATAGATCTTTTATCCCTTATTTTTAATAAATAAAATAAAATTTTTACTATTGAAATAAAAATTTAAACAATTTCATCATAATTATGTCCTTATTACAAAAGAAAAGTAATCCGAGTTTTCGATCTTTCAATTTCGTACATTGATGACTAGTAATAGATTTTTTTAAATAAACAAAATAAAATTTACATAAATATTTAATCGTAATATTTAATAATCTCCAAATATAATTATAATGAAAATTTATTAATGATTTCATTTTAGTTATCTCCTTATTACTAAGGGAAAAGAAAAAATTCAATTTTTAAAATTATTAACAAAATCGATTTCATTATAACGACATTATTGCAATATTTAAATAAATAAAGAATAAAAAATTTTTGAAAATGGCGTTTGTTTCAAGTCTCTACGACTTTTCGTTCCGAAGATATCGCTTTCGAAAGATTTCCATTCATAATTCACATAGTACAGCTGTTCGTAGTAATAGTAGTAGTAGTAGTAGTAGGCCGCGTAAATTCTCAGAATTTATGTAGGTCAGTATGTCACCAAGTTAATTCGAATGAAATTACGAAGTTAGTGGGTCAACGTAAATGTCTTTTTTTAAATGAGAATATTTCCAAAACTAAAAATCATAAAGACTTGAATCAAATACCATTTTAAAGGGCAGAATTTTCTTTATTTTTTCAACATATTGTTAATAATTAATTAACAATTTGTTATAAACAATTTTTATAAATAAATTTTTACGAAATATATTCATCTTATTTTGTCAAAAATAAAAGAAGATTTAGATTGCGTTTCCGATTTTTAAAATGACATAAATTAATAAATAATTAATAAACAAATTAGTTTTTTATCGAACAAACAATTTTTGTTTTACATTATTAGTAAACCACGTTCTGCATTTACATGGCAATATCTCCCTGACTAAAAGTCATAGAGACTTGAATCAAATATCATTTTAAAGGGCAGAATTTTCTCTATTTTTTCAATATATTGTTAATAATTAATTAACAATTTATTATAAACAATTTGTTATAAACTAATTCTTACGAATTAAATTCATTTTATTTTGCCAAAAATATTCATATTTGCTAACGATTTCTTTATATAATATATTATATAAATTATATAATTAATAAATAAATTACTTGTTTACCAAAGAAACAATTTTATTCTATAGCATTAATAGTCACGTCTTTTCTTTAATTGGCACACTTTACAGAGCTAAAGGTCGTAGAGATTTGGAACAAAATATGCAAAGTAAACGCTGGATAAGCGTAAAGTAAGTGCAGAATAATAATGTGTAATAAACTAAAACATTATTATTCTTTTACTACTACTATTTACATACTACTACTACAACTGCTACTACTATTACTACTATTACTACTATTACTACTACTGTTACTACTACTACTACTACTCATGCAATATTTTAGTCGCATCTCTATATGGTTTCAAGGTGATCGAAATTATCGTTCGACCGTATACATTACAGGTGCATGGACATAAACATGATGATGTCGATATAACGAAGAACGTATATTTTAGGGGTAACTAGAAGCCAACGGAAGAATACGAGAGATTCTTTCGTGAGATTGAAATCACTTGAAGCCACGCGATCCTTTTTTTTTACATTCGAAAAATTCGTTCGATCGTGAACGAGTTCGAAGAGAGAAAAGCGCTGAACGAATCGATGAATTTTCTATAATTTCTTTTTTTCTTACTATTTTTTTTATTATTTCTTTCTTTCTTTTGCTTTATTTTCTTTCTTTTTTTTCTTCTTTTTTTTTTCTTTTTTTTTTTTTTTCAACGACGTTCGCACAATATACCTTCGGATATTCGGCACATCTGCTATCGGTTTTCGTCATCTATCGCGATGCATTAGCAAATATTTGGCGAACTTTAAAAAAAATATTGAACTTTTCTCTCTTCGTGATAAAGTAGAGGAAACTTATTTAGAATTGTTATTATAGAATTAAAATTGTTCATTAAAATATAACATCAGTAATAATAATAATAATAATAATAATAATATTAATAATAATAATAATAATATTAATAATAATAATAATAATAATAATAATAATAATAATAGTAATAATAATAATAATGAATATAAATATTTATATGGGTACGTAAGATAAATTAATCTTCAAATATGAATTAATAATTAATTTTGTGACGAAAAAATAAATTTATTTTTATTATTATTATTATTATAAATATGTAGTACGGTCATATAATTCGTATGATTGTTAAAAAAGAAGAAAAAGGAAATAAATAAATAAATGAAAGAAAATAATGAATTAAAACTTGAAACTTTGTATTTCTTTTTTTCAGTTTACGAACTTCTTCAAGAACTTGGTGGTTATTTACCGCCAAAGAGTGTCGTCCCAGTTGACATAACTCCATTGGTCTCGGCACTTCTTAGAGTGAACGGTGCACCCCTCTTTGATTTGTACGTTGACGTCGATCTTTATGATCGTTCTAGATCCTCAGTTTTTCTCGATCTACCAACCAGGTATCAAGATGATGGCCTCTTTGCGGAAAATCTGGTGAGTTATCTTATTCCGCAGATAATATATTAGCTATATCACTAATTATGTATAATATTGGACATAGTGCTACTCGTAGCAATAAATCGATACGCGTTACAAACATGGATAAGCAGATTATACGTGTCGCTAACAAAGGGTTAGTATAAAGGGATAGGATTGTTATAAATTATACGTTGTACGTAAATGTCCCTATAATGTTATTATTGTTATTAATTAATTTGAAAGTTTCAAAAATCTTTATAGTAAATAATCTTTTTCAAAATAAAATATGTATTCAAAGTATATCAATTCGTTATCTCGATTATTATATACCGTGTCATTTGTTGTTAAGATGTTCAAAAAAAAAAAAAGGAAAAGAAATTATTTGTAAAAAATTTGGAATAATTTTAATATAAAAGTCTCCGTTTTAAATAATTATATTGAATTATATTGGTATATAAAGAATTATATTGAAATAGTTTTATATAAATTTCAAATGTATATAATTAAATAGTTTGAAAATGTTATTAAATATCTTTGATGTATTACAATTTGAACATAATTATATCAGAATGTAACATCTCTAATGTACTAGTTAAATATAATTAAATCGGAAATAATATTGAATATTTTCAACATACACTATAAATTGAACATAATTGAATTGATATTGCATTAAATATCTTTAATATATAGCGAGTTAAATATAATTAGATTGAAATGACATTGAAGAATATACAATAAATTAAATATAATTACATTAAAATGATATTGAACATTTCTATAAATTTAACACGTACGTTTAGATTAGATTCAAGTTATATTGAATATCTCTAATATGCATAATATATATATATATATATATATATATATCTAATTTATTATTAGCTCGAAATATATTGAATTAATTTAACATTGGATAAATTAAATATAATTAAATTGAAATAATTAAAAAATAATATTAAACATATAACAAAAAGAAAATATAATTAAATATTAAGAAATTAATTGAAAAGATAATAATATTTAACGTGAAAAAAATGAAACGAGTAATTAAAACAAAATGATATTGAAAATTATTAATATTGAAATAAAAGAATTAGATATTATAAATATTTGAAAGAAGTAACGTTTCATTTAATTCCTATAAAATAATTTATCAAAGTAAATAATTGTGATCGCATATCCGACTGGTTGTTAAGAGGTACATAGATCGTGGTTTCGTTAATGACTAAAACATGTGGTGCGAAGGTTGGATCTTTAGTAGGTAGATAAACGAGCCCTTTTAAAGGGAAGAAGGTTAATAGTGGTTATACTACGGTCAGATAATTACACTATAGAATTTTCGAGTAGAGTCGTTTGGCCAGTTTACGTTTCGAGAAACGAATAACGATGACGTTTGCTCGTTACATTCACGCAAACAGTTTAAAAATCGTTTGTTGCAAACGATCGTCCTTACTAAGAATTTTTCTCCTTCACCTTGAATATTTTTCTGCTGCATTAAATGTCTTAAAAAAAAAGTCCGATATATGTACCCTTTATTATCACTTTTCGTTCCTTCGAAATAGTCAAGGGTCAATATGATTATCAATGGTGATATACGTTAAAGCAAATCGCGATATTACGTTAATAATAATAATAATAATGAAAATAATATAATATTCTTTTATTATATTTTAATAGCTCGTATTTATAAAATTATTATTATGATATTTAATATGTTTCGATATTTAATATATTCGATTTTAATTTATTAGATATATAAAATTGAAATAATAATAATAATTATTATTATTATTATATGATCGTATAAATTCACACGAACAATATAATGGTATATACTTTAATAACTTATTAGTGTTGAACGATCGAATGAAAGTTTTGGCTGAATTGTTATGAAAAGTTTCTTTCTTTTTTTTTTTTTCAAACATTTAAATAAATATGTATATAGATACATTTTTTTTCAAATATGTTATAGATACATCTTATAAAAAGTTTTTATATAGTTTGTACGTGATCAGACTATTTAAGAGTATATGTAGAGAGAGAAAGAGAGAGAGAGAGAAAGAGAGAGAGAGAGAGAGAGAGTGGGAAGGAGTGGGAAAGAGTGGGAGTGAGAGGGAGGAAGGGAGGAAAAGAGAGAGAAAGAAAGAGAGAGTTTGATATAAAAAAATATATTGATATTTGAAAGTTGAGAAAGGAAAAATTTCGAACTAAGCTAACAATAAGCTACTATCAAAAGATTCGAAGCACTGTTCATATGTACGTAGAGTTGAAGATAAGGGTTAACGGTGTTTTGTTTAAAAAAGATAAGAGCACTGGGAGGACCGTGGAAAGTTAATCAATATACATATGTACATGCATACATATATAGAGAAACATGAGAGATAAGAATATTTTGATTTTGTAATATAACGACAAAACAAAAATAAACCAGAAATGATGAACAAAATTTTTTTTCTTCTTATAATTATTATCTTATTAATTGAAAAAATAAAACGTACAATCTCTATCGATCTACAATTGTCTTGATATTAATAACAAAGAATCATTTATTTTATAAATTATTTATTAATTCACAAATGATAATAATAATAATAATAATAATAATAATTTAATAAATTATAATACATGTATTTTTACAAAATTTTATTATATTTATGTAACATGTTATTGTAACTTTATATAATTTTATTATAATTATATAACATTGATACGGTTTTGATAATCATTTTTAATTAGATTACTGATATAATCATGTTACAATATTAATAATAATACATTATTATTATAATACTAATATATACGCGTACATACTATATTATGATTATTATATATTATATTATGATTATTAATATTATTACAAAATATTAATAATATAAACTTAATCCTTTCAATATAATAATACAACCATTACTAATTATATTAATATTAATAATAATAATATTTTTTTCTAATCATAATAATCATTAAAGATTCGTTAAATCTAACAAATGTTTTTCATTTGTTACAAATCAAATAGACCTTTGTACAATCAAAATTCATTAATTCGTCATGATATAGCATGATAAATGATAATACCAATTATAATATCATAATCAATAATATATATATATATTTTTTTTTTGTTCTAATCAACAGATACATGAAGGATTGGACAAATTAAAAAAAAATCTTTTTACTTTCTAATGTATTATATATCAAATAGACTAATTTACAGACTAATTAATTCATTCATCATAATATAGTATGATAAACGATCTGATCCATCTATTTCTCCTCTCCCTCTCCCTCTCTCTCTCTCTCTCTCTCTCTCTCTCTCCCACACACACGCGCATATATACAAACCACATCCACATTCACATACACTTACACACACACACACACACACATTCATACACATATGTACATACGTACATACGTTAAAATGTACTAAACGTGCGAGGTTCTACGCGTTCTTTGAATCGCTGTTTGCACGTGAGACACGTAGACACTCGTAAAGCGGCTGTTAAAGGGACGTACCTTCCTAAGAGCATGAGAGAAGACGTGAGACAGAGACAGAGAGAGACAGAGAGTGAAGCAGAGGCAGAGATAGAGAGAGACAGAGACAGAGCGAGAGAGAGAGAGAGAGAGAGAGAGAGATAGGGAGAGGGAGAGAGAAGACAAGGGGAAGATAGCATAACTCACACTCGACACGCTCAAGTCCTTTGTCTCTTCACGGTGTTCCTGTAATTGTGATACGAGCTTGGAGGAAGCAAAGGAGAGCCTCTTCAATAGCTAAGCTCGTTAAAGTGGCACTTTAAAGCAGCCCCGTTAGCCAGTGACGAAAGCGAGATGGTGTGTTAAGATGGTGTATTGGAGTAGGATAAATGGTATTGGTAATGACAAAATTAGGATGTATCAGAAAATTCAAAAGATTTTATAATCAGTTTTAATTTTTCTTTTTCTTTTTCTTTTTCTTTTTCTTTCATCCTTCTTTTCGCTTTTCTTCTATTTTCTTCTTTTTTCTTTCCTTGTCCTTTCTTCTCTTCTCTTATTTTATTCTTTCTTTCTTTTTCTTTTTCTTTTTTTTTTTTTTTTTGTTATTATCATCATCATCATCATCAAATTAATTCTCATTTGTCTTTGTAACGTATCCTTCTCTCTTTAGATTTTAATTAAGTTAAAAACTTTTCGCTTCGTTAATTTTTATCGTAAACCTTTTTTCATTCGTTCTTTCTTCTTTTTCTTTTTCTTTTTCTTTTTCAACATTGGTCAGCTTCATATTTTCTCTTTATTAATTTTTATCATTAATTTTTTCTTTCCCTCTTTCTTTTTTCTTTTTTCTTTTTTCTTTTTTTTTTTCTTGTTTCTTCTTTTTTCTTTCTTTTTTTCTTTTTTGATTCATTCTCATCACGTTTATCATATTCTCTTTTAGTTTATTTTCTATGAAATGTTTGATATTGCTTTAATTAATACAAACTTACCATTGTAGTACATAGGTTTTCATTTATTCCTAACGATGAATAAAATACGACATCATATATTGTAATAGTTATGCTATTCAAAAAAAAAAAAAAAAAGAAAAAATAAAAAAAAATAAAAAAAAAAGTGAAAGGAAACAAAGTTGAGTGATTAAGTTTTAATTAATGAACTCATATTTTGATGCCTATTATATCCTTATAATTATGATTCGAATTCTCAGTAATAAATGATTTCAAAAGTATATGTAGAATTATAATATTCAAAAGGAAAAGAAAAAAAAAAGAAAAAAGAAATATGGAAATAAAGAAGGAGACTATTTGATATGTATTATATTTTTTTATGTCATTCAAATAACTCTTACGATTCATTCAAACGATTGAACTCTCTCTTCCCCCTCCCACCCCCCTCACCTCTCTCTCTCTCTCGCTCTCTCTTTTTATATTTTCTTTTACATTTTTCACATTTATCGGACGATTTTTTTTATCGTTGGCATATAAACGTAACGATTTAATATGAGCAAAAGAAGAAGAGGTAAGAGGAATAAAAAAAAAAAA